TATTAAAAATAGTTTGCAGAAGTTGAGAAAAAAGTCTTGTTACAAAAGCTACCTAAATAACTTCTATTTATTATAGATTTCTTTACTAAAATATTGTGAAAAACGCATGCCACACTTGTGAAAATTTTTGAAGATTAATTTTGCTGAATTACTTTTTGATGCTTACTACACTTGATGAATTCTGCAGATTGTAAATACTAATACATGAACTCTTCTTATTTGGGTGTGTCTATGTGTGTGTGCAAAAAAGCAAAAACAAACATTTTGAGAGGTAATTTACTATTCGGTGTTCATTGTTCTGGTCTGGCATGAAGCATAAAATGGCAATGTTAATATAAAATTGAAAATATAAAAAAATGACAATAAAGATATATGAATATGTATATTAGTTTCATCGCTTTTTTGACAGCATGAAAAAGCCTGAGTAAAACGTCACACCACTAAATGCAGATAAATCTGCTAACTTTAATAAAAAATAATTTTAATCCTCAACTTTACTCATGTGTGGCTGAGTAAAATCTAGCAAAATATACATATTTACTAATCTCTATTCACTTATCCAATTTCACGAAATATCTGTTGTGAAACTCACCACGACCGCTATCTGGAAATGTTGAATATGTTAAAATCTTTAACTATATTCTTGTAAAATCTAATACTTTACATAATTAAGCTTGTAGGTTACATTACTATTTATTTTTACAATAAATCATTTATCTGTATTTATTAGCATCTACATTTTCACCACACTAACACGTTTAACATCATATAACCATAGGATAAGGTGCGCAATATAGGATCAATAGAAGTATTTATTCTTTGTGATATTGGAAACTTCTTTCGAATATGCAAAACAACAATTATAAGAATAATTTGAAGCAGTTATAAACATTAATGAATTTTAAAAAATAGTTTCTAAAAAACTTTTAACTTACATTAGCGGCCATTGGAGGATCTTAATCCAATATCAAGCAGAATTAATCCATTTAAACTAAAAAATTTTCAACGATTTACTGGCTTTGCGATAATTTTAAACCCTTCACTTTATCCACAAAAATCAAAAAAAAAACAAAAACAATATTCAAATATTTTTTTGAAAGTAACAAAAAATTTTCATATTATTTTTAATTCAATGAATTTTTTTTATATTCGAATTCTTAGCAAATTTTCTTTTGCTAATTTAATTTTTTTATTTTTCATATATTTTTTATTTTTTTTTTACTGGGGATTTATGTAATTTGTAATCTGAGCCATCAAATTTTACGCTCAACGCAAATGTGAAACCCGAAACCGCGTAACTCAAAGCTCGGATCGAAATTTTTACGCGATTTTCTGGTAACTTAACGTCTTTTTTGCTTTTCGGTTTTCACTGGAATTTTGTATTGATTTCGCACTTGAATTGCATTCGTTAAACTATTGTTGTTGTTGTTGTTGTTGTATTTGTCTGACCTGCTTTGCAAAAACAAATAATTTTGTTCTTATATTTCAAAAAAAAAAACAAAAAATAACAAAAATTCACTCTTTTTGCATAAAAACTTGTTTGGTTTTTGTTTATAATTTTTTTAATTTATTTATGAATTTTTTTTTTCATAATAAAAAATCTCAACTTTTTTGGTCGCTTTTATTTTTTTTTTTTTCTAAATCATACTTTTACCGAACCTACGTCGATACGCCGTCGTTCGCACCAACTTCAGGCTTGAAGTGCTTTATGTCAACTGATCAGGTGAACTAAACTTTAACACTGGAAAAGTTGTGAAACTGAGCTTAGCTTAGAAGCTTTCAACAAGAAACTCTCTCAAAGCTTTATACATTACCGGCGCTAGCCAGTGGCGTTTCAAAACAACCTGTAAAATAAAATTATTTCAGTGAATGTACAGCAAATGTGAGCCTTGTGCGAGTTTGAGTAAATTGAGGTAAAGTAAATTGAAATTTTCTAGGGATTTTTTGGACTGCAATTTTGTAAATATTTATTTATTTATTTATTTATTTATTGCACTTATTTATTATTTTAGTTAAAAGTTTTCAAATATATTTATTTATTGATTAAACATTTTATAAAAATTTCAAATTGCTAAAACCTAATTTAACTAATTTTTATCTAATTTATCCTACTCGAAATTTCGGTAAGGACGTGTGCGAGATAGGCTAAGTTGCGTTCTAAATGAGGCAAATTCTAAGTTGTGCCGATAATGTAGTGTTGTGTCGATACGTGTTAATAAATGGCTAAATGTATGCAGTGCCAAAAATCTGCTTTAGCATCAACTTAGCCTAACTCGCACACGTCCTAAATACCATCATTCGCTGTCATACCGACATAATTAATTTTATTATACTTGCTCTTGGTATAATTTGTGTAAATGAATTAGGTCAATAGACCATATGCGCCGAGATAGAGTGAACATATACGATATTTCACTAATACCTTGTTTCCACTGCTTACTTAGTTAGTTCATTAAGTAACTTAAGTAACTTTTTCCATGGAATTAATTTATTTTTGCATTGGAAAGAACTTTTATGCGTCTGAAAATTCTTTAAAAGTTTTAAAAGAGCTTCTATTTATTTAAAAAAATGTCACTCAATAACATATTCCCCAAAAATTTAATATATGCTTGATATGTTAAGTCATTTATATATATTTTAAATCTATTGTGGTTGTAATAAATGTGAATTATAAATCTCAGTACGTTTGTTTACTGCTCAGCTGTTGTTTGTTTTCATTTTACATATAAAACATATCAGACACATTTCAAATGTTGGTAATTTCCCTTATGGGAAATTTATTTTCAAGGGTTGTATTTGAAATATATAGTCTAATTTTCCTTACTTTATTTTTAAGTATGTTATAAAGCATGAACGATTTTTCGTGTTAACCATGAGATTTACTTAGTCAATTACACTTACTAAGCAGGCAGTGGAAATGTACTATAAGAATGAGTACAGCAAAACAGACGTTGGTCGTAATATGTTAACCCATACTTTACAAAATTAATAGTGTTGGTTAGTTCAAATAATAACAAAAAAACAATTACGTGCTCTGATCAATTAATAATAAATATAATCATTTTTAATGGTATAATATATTCAAATATATTATCGTAATAAAAGGAATATTTACCGTTTCTTGGTATATTTTTGAACGAAAATTATCTTTATTAAAATATATAATCCATGTATTTAATTTTAGTATATTAGGTGATATAAAAAGTATCATAAAGTCTATATAAGACTATTAATTTTTGGTACATTTCTGAACAAACCTTTTTTTTATTGAAAATTTATTTGAATAAAGTTTATTTTTGGGGTAGTTTCATAATCCATTGTGTGGAGCGCAAAACTAAGCCAAATGGTTTTTATCGGCTTTTCGATCGGCCAATATTTTACCATTAAAACGATGTAAATAATAGGTTATACGCATATGGTTATACGGAGAAGGTCTGGGTTATACAGCAGGTGCAACAAAACTTCTCAATCAAGTTTCGTTAATTAAGTCCGAGTGGTCAAAGAAGTGTGCGGCATGGCATTATAGTGAAGTGAAACAACTCATTTTCAGCCACCAAGTATTTGTTTACTTTTTTTTTGTAACTATGTCAAAAACAGCTTTTTCAAACTTTCAAATAGCCATGAAAAACTTTTCTTTAGGGTATGTTCAATGTATTCATTTACATTTGGAATTCATTCAAAACTCATTTCTAGAAAATGAGATCCATTGCGCGAATGTGGATCTCATTTGCGCATATGAAATTTTGTTTGCCAAAGTCAGTCATTTGCTTTTCATTTATAATTTTTGACCCAAGTCAGTCAGTTGAGCCTAATGTAAACGCCATATAAGAGATATTCACTGTGTTATTTGATATATAGTCAAATAATATGTACTACATACAAAAACACTGACGTAAATATGGCAATTCTACATATCCTCTATATTCAACAGTATGGAATTCACCACGCAAATATAAAACTTTAAGTATTAAACTCACCAGGGTGTTTTATACCATAAAAATTATAGTTTATGTGTATATATATATACATACATATACATATGTATGCCTAATTGCAAAAAAACAATTACAAGGCAATCCATATTTATGGATATTGGTTATACACAAGTAATAATGTCGTTATTATATATAATTATTGTACATATATTGATTATAATATACATATGTATATATGTTATACACAAATAATAATGTCGTTATTATATATAATTAATGTACATATATTGATTATAATATACATACATACATATGTATATATCTTACATCCAATTAGTATGTACATGTACATATGTATATCTTATCTGATTGCAAATAAGCAACACATATTCATTTATGTATATTGTTTGTTATATGTACATATGTATATAAATATATACAACAAGCAAAAGTATTATTAAACAAATTTTTAGAGATAGTATATTATATTAATTCATTCCAAAAAGTAGTTTTAAAACCCATGTATTTCTTTTATGTATTATCTTAATAAATATTTTGTATAGTAATAGTAATTGTATAGTGTATAGTGTATAGTAATTTTTAAACTATTAGTTATTACTAAATTACTAAATAATACTATCTTATAATAATAATATTTCATAGATTGTAATACGCTATTAGCGCGTAGTGTACAAGCATAAACATAGCAAATTATATACTTGGTACATATTGACAGAATATTGCTATGAATAATACTATTCTTTAATAATACAGAATAATACTATTTGATATATAAATTTAATTAATATGTATTATAATGTGCAGTAATTGTTAAATAAATACGTTTGTATATAAAATAATTAACTTGATTGAATTAACAGCGACATCTATTGATAAAATAAAACCATCAAACAAAAAGAGCTAACAATGCTTTCGTGTATGTGATAATAAGAGATAGCAGCAAGTTTGCAGCTAATGAAAATGAAACGAATGACGAGAGAAAACGAATAAGTAAAACTTCAAAATATTTTGGTTAAACCCGCGCTGTTGCTAGTAAATGAAGTTTCAAAATGAAATGAAGCCTTGCAGTTCATATAGAAATATTACAGTTGACTTTACATGCCAGTTCTGGTTTATTGTCCAAACAGTTAGGCGGTGTTATTATGAATTGCTGTGTTTTAATGTTTTAAAATGTTATTAGAAATAATAATGGCCGCTCTTAAAATTCTAGTAAGTGTGTGATATATAATTTTAATTAAGATTGAACTAGTTGCTTATAATTATGTTTATTATTTAATAAGATGTGCGTTTTTAAGTTTTTCCTTAAATATCAGTCGCAATATAAACAATAAAAATAATATTTTTTGAATAAAATTTGAGTAATTTTTTTTAAGTATATATTATTAAATTTGATTTACTATATTAAACAATTTGTAAAATATTTTTTCGTATATATTTCATAATCGTTTCAGAAGCCAGCCAACATCGTTTAAAACAGTTATACGTCGGGTAATCACGATTTCATCATCGGATTCCTAGAATTTAAAAAATGAGGCAACATAACAAAATTATACTCAACTAGGAGAAATTTATTATCAAATATATAAATAATATCAATTATAATTTAAATATAAATTCGAATATTAATGTTATGCATGCAGTATTAATAGTTACCGATGCCAACAAAACAAAATATCGCTTGGTATGTACGTAAGTAGATGCCGTTTTTTTTTTTTTTTAATTTTTTCATTCTTCTAAGCAGTTTTTTTTTTACTTCCTTATGTATTCTATTTTTTATTAATTTATTTTTATTCTCGCGTTACAATAGAATGTGTTTTGAGTAATAAAATAACCAATTTTAATCTTTAATAAAAAAAATTTCCTTTACTACACATGTAACGAATAATATTTTTTTTTTATTTCTCTTCGAATGAATAAAAATTGTCTTCTCGTGTGAAATTAAGTTTTAAATTCTTCTCCAAACAAGATAACTACAGATAATCAATGGTAAAGGTCTACATATTATTATAAATTATTTATAATAAAAAATAAATTTTAAATCTACAAATATCAGAGAATGTAAGAATATCATTTCAATGTTAAAATTTATACATATCCAATAAGATTTATATTAAAATTATTATTTTTTATTATTATTATTTCTTATTATTATTTATTATTATTATTTATTATTATTATTTATTATTATTATTTATTATTATTATTTATTATTATTATTTATTATTATTAATACTTTTTTTATTATTATTACTTTTTATTATTATTATTTTTAATTATTTTTTAATTTTATTATTATTATTTTTAATTATTTTTTAATTTTATTATTATTATTTTTAATTATTTTTTAATTTTATTATTATTATTTGGGATTATTATTTATTATTATTTGGGATTATTATTTATTATTATTTGGGATTATTATTTATTATTATTTGGGAATATTATTTATTATTATTTGGGATTTTTATTTATTATTATTTGGGATTATTATTTATTATTATTTGGTATTATTATTTATTATTATTTGGGATTATTATTTATTATTATTTGGGATTATTATCTATTATTATTTGGCATTATTATTTATTATTATTTGGGATTATTATTTATTATTATTTGGGATTATTATTTATTATTATTTGGGATTAATATTTATTATTATTTGGAATTATTATTTATTATTATTAGGGATTATTATTTATTATTATTTGGAATTATTATTTATTTTTATTTGGAATTATTATTTATTATTATTTGGGATTATTAATTATTATTATTTGGGATTATTTTTTATTATTATCATGTACTATTATTTTATTGTTATTATTGATTATTATTTTGTTATTATTATATTCTTTGTATTATTATTAGTTTGTTATTACTATTACTATTATTTACTATGTTAGAATTTTCGCATATTCATAAGATGTATATACGAATAAACATAATCTCTTCGTGACTTATGTAAGTTAAAAAATAACTTGTAATAAAAAATTTAATCATATCATGTAGTCATGGAGTTAAATATCATATATTTATCTATTTTTGCCATTTATAAATTAAATTTAACTCATTTCGTGCTATTTTTGTGCAATTCTTATTTAATTTTAAACGTCATTTACCGACGTTGCCTGGTAACTCTGCACACAAAAGTTTTTATTCAAGCAAACAAGAGAAATAAGAAAAAATTCCACTCAGAATTGTGCCGGTTGTTGCTAATAGAAGTCGTTGACGTTGTTAAAGTCGCGTTGTTGGGTGAGAGAAAGAAAAAATTTTTTGTTTATTTAATGCGCTATATTAGAAGAGAAAAAGCCTATTGAATAACAAAAATAAACAAACATTTGAAATTAAAGTGAAGATAACTTTTTATATTTTATGAATGCATTCATTTTTCCTGTTACAAAAATAGTGTGCACTGGATGGAGTTTGTGAAGTGAAAAAAAGTATACAAAATGTAAATTACCAACAATGCACCAATAAAAGAAAACTACATAAATGATGTACTCGTGATATTTATTGAAATAAATTCTTACTCTGTGGAGCTTTAAAAATGACACTTTTAACAAATTAATGTAAACCAATAACGAAACGAGTTTAAAAAATATGTAATTATTTTTCAAATACACATTATGCAATAATATAAATGAATTATATATTTTAAGCGAAAAAAATTATAACAGGAGTGTTCTATTTTTTTCTTTCAGTTTGCTAGCTACAGTAAACGAAAACATTTAATTGAAAAAAATAACAACAATAAACAAATACATACAATTGAAAAAAAAACTAACAAATACAAAAACAAATAGAATTAATTGAAATAAATAACATCAAATACAACAACAATAAACATAAATAAATGGAATTTCAGTGTGCAGTAAGTAGCAGTAGCAGCAGCGTTTTGAAAACGGGATAAACACGATGAAAAAGGAATCAGTGCAGGCAGTAATGGGGAAGTAGGCAAACTGTCGCCGCAACAGTATAAATGCTTGTGTAAGAAAGAACAGAAAAGACTTGTGTCGCCACAAAGATTCAAACAAAAAAAAAAATATATATATATATAAAAGGAGAACGAAACGCCTTTGTGTGTGTACGTACGTACGTTTGTGTTTTCGGTAAGAAGTGTTTTGCTGCTTGTTTACTTTTTTCTATTATTTGCGAAACTCAAAGTAACAATTAAATTTTTTGTTAGGATCATTTCTGCACTGCAAAATATGTGCAAATAAAATTTTTTAATATTATTTATTCAAAGAGAAGTTACAATAAAAGAAAAAAAAGAAAATGTCAGCAAATAAACCTACGAATAAAGATGAACAAAACCAACAACAACAAAATGAAACTCAGCCAGGCACAGGCACTATGGTGGATACATTTGACAACAATAGATTATCATTACCACTTAATAATGAATTATTAAATATGAATACAACAGTCGCGTGTAATTCTACAACACCATTACTAGCTGGTTCGCCTGTTGGTATAAATGCTATTGCTGTCAATACAAACACAAACGCATCAACGAGTGGTTTTAATTTATCCTTAATGCAATCTTCACCTCCTCCCCATAGCTATCGTCATTCACGTGCCTATCGTCATTTCAAAAATCCACCACAGCCACATATGTGCATACGGACCACAACAGACGCTGGTGAAGAACTATTCATAAATGTTCTTAGTTGGACTAGAATTGTAATACCACAAGAACCAAGTGATCCAATACCATTATATGGTGGTATGCGTGTAAGTATTTGTTTACATAATATTAATTTTAATTTCTTTTTCAAATAATTTTTTTTCTAAATTATTTATATTAGGTACCACCAGGCAGTCCGCGTAGTCCACCAATTGTATTTGCTGTAATGGCCAATCCTGAAGTGCTTAAGGATTCAGGCCGTCATAGTAAAGATCCTGAGGAAAGACGTGCTATGGTTGAACTTATGTGCGATTTTGTTGAAGCTATGAATCCAGGCGTAAAGTTAGTAAGGTAATCAATCGTAATTAACTGTGTTAACATTGCGTGTCAAGCTGAAAAGTTCATTAAGGTCAATAATAGTTACTTACAAGCAGTGACAATATTTATAAGAAATCCTTCCTATATCTTAACACAAAACAAGTTTAATATTTAAACAAAAGCCTTTTTTTACTTTTGTCCTTAAACAATGATTTACTTCAGAATTCTTTTTATTTTGTAAAGAATATATAATATTCTATTCAAAATAGGGTCATCAATGACGTGTCTATAGTTTGAGGTTTTGATGGTATATAAATTCATATCAAGTTCATAAAAAAAGCTAATACATACCTTGGTTATTTTAAATAACGTCATATTAACTGAATATAATTTAATTGTGCGCGCAAAAAGGGGAAGTCAATAATTATTATTGACATAAATGTTGTAGTTGCCCGCAAGGATCTGCTTGTGTAATTTCTTTTGGGAGTGCTGAAAAGCACTTTTGTTAGGTGAGCTCTCGACGAAAGGCTCCAGGAACCATCCACTCTCACTTCCTTATAATCACGTCTCCCATATAACCATTGCCCATCCCAAACCTTGTATTCGTCATATAATTGATGTTGTCTACTTTACAAATCTAAATAAATATAAATAAAATTTATATCATGCTATTATGCTTATTTATTTCTTGGCGGTTTTATATATTCATAAAAATGTTTCTAATGATATTGTCAGCTAGTTTAATTTGGTTTATATGTGCATCTCAGTTACTGTCATTAATTATATTCGCTTAAAATAAATTCCAAGTTGTTCTAGATATATCTCTCATTATTCTCCTAGCGTATCATTATACGTTATATTTTATATCTCAAGTTCTTCTTTCGTAGCGTGTATCCAAGTTACCTGCATGGAGTGAAAGGCTTGCAATTAAATCAAAGAGATCTTGTGGAACGTCCTACAACATACATATCTTCTTGTTATGATTGTTTTAATGTGAGAATTCTTCTGATATTCCTCTTTTTTTTTTAATATTCTTAAGAAATATTAATATTTTTTAATATTTCTTCTGATATTCTTCTTTTAATATTCTTTCTTCTGATACTCTGTTTTTGATATTATCTTAATATACTTTAGTCAATCTTCTCATTCTGTATAGATTAACATTCTTTTAATGTTATTTTGATCTTCTAACATTATTTTGATATATTACATATTTTAGAAATATCATACTTTATTTGAAAATGAAAACTAGGAAGGTTGTTGGCGTTGTACTATTAATAGAGATGACATTTTCGTAGACCTTTTTTTATTTTGCAATTCTTTCGGCTATTTTTATGGCATATATCCATAAAGTGGTTACCCATTTAAGTTTAGTTAATGTGGGTACTTAAGAAACGTATAGTTCGTATTTTACTTTATTCATGTTGTCCTAGTCTTAGCTTCTTAATTCTAGTTTCTATTCCCACTTTAGTCTCGTCGATATTAATTACTTTTTTCAATTAACAGTATCCATTTATATCTTTTATTGTGACTGTTATGTGGTACAACTGAATGTAGGTTTGTTGATATATAAATGCACAGTAGCTCTGACTTTTATGTTTACGTTTAGATTAATATATTTCGCACTATGAAGAAGTACCTGAAAAATTGTTTCACATTTCTATTATATTATAACGTAAATTCTCTGCGTAGGCTTATTCTTACACCAGCTCAAACATTAAGTTCAGAATAATACTAATAATAAGTTGAAGTTTCGTCAAATGTGTTTCTTTTTCGTGATCGGATCTAATAATACGACGAAAGTTGGAACAATCTGATCCAATCCACATAACCTTATAGGACTCTTTATGATGGATGTAGATGTGTATTTTTTTTTTCGCTAACCTATATAAGACTCCTTGATTGATTTAGAAGTTCTTTTTTTATACAATATTTATGAAGCGAACAAAGTAATTGTCGATATAGATTTTTTTTCACTAATGCGATAAACTATTTCTGTACTCCTAAGCGTACCAAACATGTAACCAAAGTTCTCTAAGTACAATGCAGACCATCCCACCACTCTGTGGGTTGTTTTACAACTGTTTTCAGCATGTTACTATGGTCTACAGAAAATCTGCAATTCTGGAATTCATTTTCTATGATATTAATTTCATTATATGCATTGATAAGAACATATATGTAATGAATCTTATTTTAAAATGTACATATATATTTTAAACGTTTTAATATTTGTATATGAATAAATATAAATGTCTATATTAATATAAATTTAAATTTCAGAAATGCTGTCATATTAAAAGATCGTGATATATCAGGTGAATTAAAAGATGTTTGGAATGCAGTACAAGCACAAAGAGATCGAGAACGTGAAGAACAAATAATGCAACAGCGTCAACAGCAGCACTGTCATAACAATACAACTCAGCAAATGTTCCCAAAATCTCCAGAAACCGTTCGTTCAATGGCACAAACAAAATCTGAACAAGAAAACACTGAAACATTATCTGAAAAACAACTTTCAAACGAAAATCGTATAAATGTACAAAATATGGGCATCACTGCCGCCTCATCATCAAAAGCAGAAAATAAGACTGTTATAGAAGCACAAGACGGCTCGATTGATAATAGCTCCAACGAATGTTTATTGTTGAATGGTAACAGTGTTGGTGTTATTACTAATGATATCATTATGCATAATGCTACCATATCCAGTACAAATGAACTATTTAATACTGGAAGTGATCAAATTGATGCCGTCAATAATAAATCGAATATAGTAAAAAATGATAATTCAAACAACAGTACAAAAATCTCACAAATTGGAACAGATAATTCTCAGCAAGCAGTTAATAATAAAGTCATTAATACATCATCGGCATCGTCAACCTCATCCAACCTTAGTTCTACTGCATCAAAAACAATTACAAAATCAGCAATGTCTACATCATCAAATGCAACAACAACGTCAGCAGCGATAACAACCAATGTAGCCACAACTACCACTGTTGTAACACCTGTAAAAAAAGAAAAACTTGGTGGATTTCTACCAAATGGTTGTATTTTTCCACGTTTCAAAAACAATAAAAATAAGGATAAAGAAAGTAAGCCAAAAGAAAAGACATTACTGAATGCATTAAAAAAAAGTAAAGAAAAGAAAGTAGCACCAATTGAACATAGTGAAAAAGCTACGCCCGAAACTACAGATACCAAGTCACAATATGAGAAGAATTGTATTAACTTGGAGAGCGAAGTACAAAAATTGGATATAAATAAAATCGATACAAACACCAGTAATGATATGTTCATTAAATTAAAAGTAACATCTGCTACATCGGCTGCTGCGGCGAAATAAAGAGGTATAGTTTTAATTAATTGGTTATAGAAATATGATGTCATATAAATATGTTATAGGTATTTACTATCTATAATTTTTTGATTCTCCAACAGTTCAAAGTCACAATTTTATCATGTCTTTACTTCCAGTTAGCACATTGTTGGTTTTGTTTATAATATATGGTTTTGGCTGGCATCTGGCATCCATTTAATTTACTCAGTATCTACAATGGTCAGACTTTAGCAAGATTTTTTTGCTCTAAGACAAATATGTTTTATTTTTGGATTTTGTCTGTGACTAAAATTTGTGTGCTGGTGTGGCAATTGGATTGGATTAGTGTATCTTTAGCTTTGTGGAGATTTGAACTAGTAAGAAGCCAGATAAATCAAATTTCCTCGTAACCGAGTGATTAAATTAGAATTTATAATTTGCTAGCATATAAATTCTTGTATTCTTTTTGATTTATCGTGTGAATGTGTTATTTATCGAATTAATTTAATTAATGAATTAATTTAATTAATGAATTAATTTAATTATTTGAAAATTGGTAGTGCACTGCGACTTAAAAGACCTATTGTCTTTTAGTCAGATTAGAGTGTTTCTCCAAGTCCGATTTCTTTAATGAAAGATAGTATAGAGCGTATCTTTCCTAGTCTTGAATCCCCAAGCACTGTTATACTGTTCTAGATATAATAAATACAATATAGGATTAAATTTGATTCCTGCAATCCGACTATAGTAATAATCAGAATTGATTACAATTTTACTGGATCTAGATTAACGGAGTTCTACTGTCCATGAAATACTCTTCTAGGTCTTTCTTCCGCTTGTGCATAAGTGCCGGGCACTCCCCAAGCACTGTTATACTGTTCTTGATATAATAAATATCTATAAGATTAAATATGATTCCTGCAATCCGACTATAGTAATAATCAGAATTGACTACAATTTTACTGGATCTAGATTAGCGCAGTTCTACTGTTTCTATTTTTTTTTTTATTTATTATGTTGAGGCTAGTTGAGTCAGTGTACCTGAGCACTTTAACTCTCTATTAACTGCGAGGCTTCTTCAAAACCCCTCTTTGCGCCTTGACTAGATTATTGTTTATCACTTCATCCGACTAAGCAATAATTGACCTCAAATCTGCATACCTCCCCTAGGAGACTGTAACCATTCTAAGATTTGATAACGCGGTGTTCGTAAGTCTGTCAGATTTCGCAATAATTTCAGGGCTCTATCCTTTATGTATTTTTATATATATATAATTATTTTTTTAATTGATTTTATTTGTTTTTGCAGATTACGTGAGATTAAAAATGCTCTCTCAATAATATGATGTTTACATCTCTATTAAATAATCCAACATTGACTCGACTACATAGGTTGCTGCAGTGAAAACAGCAAGTAATAGTTTTAAGTGTATTATATTTATTTAATAACAAATTACGTGTTAGTTAAAGTTAGATAATTTTAAGTGAAATATTTCGATGTCAATTGTGACGGACATACATTTGAAAGGAATGACACACGAAAGTGTTAATGTTTAAAAAATATTAACATTATACACGGTTAGTGAGACTTAATTAATTAGTATTACTTTAATATGTAGTGGAGAATGTTAGAACTGCCAATTTTCAAATATAATTTTATATATATATATATATATATATGTATATAAATGTGTACGAAAATATTTTTGAAAAAACTATAATTTATATGAATCTTCTTCGCTACATAATAAAACAAAAAGATGAGAAAATGAGACATGCACTGTTTTACAGAAAACAACTTTCTTTTTATCGATATAATTTTTATTTATGATTGCAATATCAGTTTTAAATGATCATATTTCAATAATTTTAATAGAAAATGTGTGCACAATATGAAACAAAATGAATTTTTGTTTTTGCATTCTTTTATTTAATACAGTATTATTTGCACGTCAAATAGAAAAGTAATTTAACACAATGTGCCATTAAATAAATAGAGAACTGATATGAAATTATAAAATAAAAATTAAATAACGACATTAACTAAAACCTAATATAAAACAATGAATTATGCATTTAATAAAACATATATACATATAAAGCATACATAAAACAAACAACATTTCAAGGCATCCTATTTAAATCTTTAATTATAACGATTTAAAAAAAAATTATTTTTAAACTATGATAGATATAATGGCAAATATTTATAAAATCAAACTGTATACTTAGCAAAACATGCCTGAAACATTAGAGGTATTATTTGCTCAAATAATGAATTTGGTTTTTTTTTTGGATATCTAAAAAAAAATTTAGTTTTTCTGATCATCAACTGATTTTTTTATTATCCATGGGCTATATTTTCAATTTACTGTTTTAGTTTTGAATTTATATAAAAGTGAAAATGAGTGGAAATTGAAAATATAGCTCCGGGATTAATAATATGTACTACTACTGTTTGAATATTATTAATATATAAAATATATCCCAACTTTTTTTTGTTGAACGTTTCACGAACAACGATTTGAGCTAAGAGGAGAGTATCAGTAGTTCGAAAAATGTATTTTTGCGTTAAACGGTTTTAGTTTTTCTTGGGAAATTATTAGTGCCGGTCGGTACTCAACCCTAACCTGTCCATATATTAAAAAAATTTTGTCTTACACAATAATCCAAAATACCCTGTAGTAAGGTTGACTCTCAATATGAGGTTTTAAATATTTATTAAGAATCAATAAATTACTAACAATTATGTTCTGTTCAGTTCTGTTCTGAATTCTAAAATTTTTCTCATTTTCTAATTTTTAAAATGAAAATGTATGAGCATGAAAATTTGATTGTCAATTTGTATTTTCAAAGTAAACTTCTCTACTTTGAATAATGACACACGAACGCCACATGACTCCCCCACCAGTGGTTGAGTGGAAAACAATGCCATGTTATACGCACTTGATTCTATGTCATAAATCTGATAGGTAATCGAATAACTCTGCCGCTAGATGTGCTGCGACTAGAGTTGAGCCCCTGCTGAGGTCTTCGTACAGGTTGTGCATCCGGAATTGACTGTAAAGAAGTAGATCGTGGCAACTGCATGTTTGGTTCGATTTCGTCATTCAACAAATAAGCTGCCTTTACTCTATCGATGCTCACTTGAACAGGTCGGTCCTTGATTAAAATAGTAATAAGCTTCCTGTCCTCAGGTGCTATGGGTATACTGAAATAAGCTCGTTCCAAGTCAAGTGTGGTGAAGATAGCCTTGTCATTCAAATTCTGAGTAAAATCTTGAATGTGCGGTATCGGATAACGATCTGGAACTGTCTGTGCATTGAGTCGCCTGTAATCTCCGCACGGCCTCCAAGTACCATTCTTCTTCTCCACAATATGTAACGGATTGGCCCATTCGCTTTTCGAAGGAGTGCATATACCTTGATCAAGCATGTATTGGAACTCAATTTTTGCTGCTTGCAACCTTTGTGGATTGAGCCGCCTGGTACGTTTATAGACTGGTTGCCCCGTGGTAACGATGTGATATTGCACCGTGGTTCTTACTGCTCCAGACTTGTTATACGATGTTGGTATTGTCAGATCTTTGAACTCTTCTAATAATTTTCGAAACGGATGATCTGCATTCACTGCGAATACTGGCTCTGGCATATGTAACGCTGTTGCACAATGAACTTTCATGTTGGTTTTGCTGTCAACATAGCTCCTAGCATAGGTTTGTAGACATCAGCTACGACGAACTCCCAATCGAGTTTGCGCCGCAGGCCAAGATTCAACGTCAGCAATTTATTTCCGTATGTTTGTATTGAAGTTCCGTTTGCTGCATACAACAGTTTAGAAGATACCGTCGGCTTAGTTCTGTCGAAAATTGATACGGGTAGAATTGAGAAATCTGCACCTTTGTCGACAAGGAATTTCAATTGTGTCGAGGGATCTAAAACATATAACCGGCTGGATTTGTAATAACTGTTTCCTTCGCCAACCGCCGCACAGTGTAACGTGTTCATATAACAAGCGGACAAAAATAGTAAATGTTATGCTATTTTCATGAAATTTTGCATAAAGACTTATATTAAGGATAATAAAAAGTTTCTGAAAATTGGGCATGGTCCGCCTATTTTTACGCCCACCTGCCATACAAAGTGAATGATCAAAATGCGCAAATTGGATACAATTTCAATGAAATTTTGAAAAATGGGCGTGATCCGCCCATTCTTACGCCCACATATCATACAAAGTGAATGATCAAAATGCACAAATTGGATTCAATTTCAATGAAATTTTAGACAAATAAATGTTTTTAAAATGTTAACATATTTCTAAAAAATGGGCGTGGTCCCATTTTTAGTTTTACTGAAATTTAATGCAAAAATAATATTTATAAAAAAGTATCTGAAAAATTAGCATAAAATTCCTTCTTCTAAACCAACTACTTACAAATATAAAGCGTATAAAAAAGAGTTGTTTCAAATATTATATTACTTATAACAAGTTTCATGAGTTTTCATAATATATACATATATCATATACTCGTATTTCAATTACTTTATTCGCTTTCATCAGAGGTGTCACTGAATGTAATATTTTCTATATCAAATTCGGAACCGGAGCAATCTACGCTCTCTTCAATCAAATATTCCGCCATGTCATCATAGGCATGTGATTTCCTTCGCATTTGTTTCCTTTGCGAAGATATAAGTGGTTCCGAAGATATAAGTGGTTCCGAAGCTAATAATAAATGATTTAAAAGATCTTTATTCGATGAAACTCTTGATGATTTTCTAGTGTGGTTTAATCGGTGTTTTCGAAATTCTTTATGACTTGCTTCTATTGCATCTTCGGATAGAAGGCCAATTGGTATATTGAAATGTTGTATAACTTCACATCCATGAATCAGTATTTTATGTAAAGTTGCTGGCATATTGTACCATGAGTAATGTACTATATAAATTTCCTGAGTTTTTTGTAGAAGATCTTTAAATGTTAACAAATTTATGGTTTTACCACTTGATAAAATGCATAAAATTA